GACCAGGCATGGATGTGGATTCACAGGGTGTGTATTATGTGCATCTAACACAGTAACACCATGACATGCTCAACCTTTAATCTGCCTGGCTTTGGACATAGAAGTAATTATTATTATGCATTCAATTCATCTCATTGTTTGGTCATTGTTTACTTTTAGTTTCACACAGACAGCAGTCTCCTGGGTGGAGGTCCTGTGTTCGTGTGATACCCAACCCCTCCTGCCCTCCTTAGAAAACCTTACTTCTGGTTATACCTGTTATTGTACCACGTAACAGTCAGTAACGTTATATCACTCGATATACTACGTCATCTTCTCTGCTTCTCTACTACGTCACTGTCTGTATTCAATGCATCCATGGTTTTGCAGAAACATACAATGGCAAATTGTTTTCATGCCGACTGTGCTGCAATAGAAGAGATGGTAAATGGTGAATGGACTGTACTTGTAGAGCGCTTTTCTAGTCTTTACGAGCACTCAAAGCGCTTTCACACTACATGTCAAAGCTAATACGAGGACACTGCAATTACAGTAAGCCAAATCAAGTGTACAGTCAGGGCCAGAAGTATTTGGACTGTGACTCAATTTTTCTAATTTTGCCTCTTTACACGACTCCAGTGGATTTGAAACTAATCAGTCAATATGTGGTTGAAGTGAAGACTTTCAGCTTTAATTCAATGGATAAAACAAAAAAATCACAATAACTGTTTAGGAATTACAGCCATTTTTACACAGTCATCCACATTTTCAGAGGCTCAAATGTAATTGGACAAACTAACATAATTGTGAATATAATCATTATTTTTAATACTTAATTTGAGACGTTTGAGAAACAATGGTAAACTCATGCTATTGCCTCGCTGTCAATCAGTTGTGTTTCATGAAGAAACACAACTGTTTGGTTTTTCCTTTGGTTAAAACGACCTGCTTGTACATCTCACATGTACATTGAGACTAGCATAGTAAGATGGGGGAACAGAAATCAACGGGACTAACACACCCGGTCACAGACAACGATAGCATCTTGACTGCTGAAGCCTCATTAACTTCAGCTAAACTTTCACAGCGTGAGGACCATTTTGTGCCTCGTCTCTTACATCGTCATGTATTGTACTTTTACAGCCAGTATGAAGAGGGAGAAATTGTAACCAACATGTCTTTCACATTAAATACAGTTTTGTACTAAGATAGATTTGCAGAAATTCAAACCTGGCCTCTCCAACTTGATTGCAGAAAATAAAGATACAAGCTGCATCATATGTTTAGACCCAGCTTCAGGTTCAGATCAGTTGTAGCGTATTCCATACCTTAAGACAGTTGTGACATCACACTAATATTCATAACACAATTAAAATATAGTCATGACCACTCACCTGGTATTATTTCCACCCTGTCTTTCTAATTTCTGAGTTGATTTGAATGCACCATTACCAGACAGCCGAGTGGAGTTTATCAGGGAACCCAGTGACTGAGCTTGTTCGGGAGCTATAGAAGCCAAACTAAAGTAAGCTCTGATGAGCTGAAATATGGAGGATGGACTTCTATATATGGAGGATGGACTTCTATAATAATGGATTACACATGCACACACAGGAAAGAGTCATCTCCCAAAAAACATCGGAGACTTCCAATTCATTCTGACACAATATATTAGAAACCTTTCACAAATAAAAGCTTTAAGGATTTATAAGCATTGCTCAATTCATAAATATATGCAGCAAAAATACAGTACAAGAAATCTCTTTTTAGGAATCAGGACAGGACATAAAAATATGTAAAACTCTTCACTAGACTATATTAGAATATCTGATTCTTTCAGAAGTGCACAAGTTATTTTACTTACAGCAGAGTTGGGACATAGCAATAAAACAAACAAAACAAACCTGCTCACACTGCCACACATAATACGTTTGGGCTGCAAATGTGGTGATGACAGCTCATTTTAAAGGCATGTTGAGACTGGATGTGAATATTTGCGTTCATCGTATAATTTGGATGTACATTATCAATATATTATTTATTTACCCAAAACAGCTAACGTAAAAACTATACAGACATTAGCTGTAAGCTAGCTAGCAATGAATGCACCGCCCATGTCCCTGTGGTGATATCATTTTTCCTAGGATGGCGCAATCTCACTGCTAATGCCTCACCCGAACCAACCAACCACCCAAAGAAGGCAATGACGACCAGCCAATCAGAGGCAAAGTAGGGCAGGTCATAACTCCGCCCTCCTAGGAAAAAGAAATTGGGGTCCCTGTGGGAGTCAAGTGCCAGGCATCCATATTGGATTTGTTTGTTTTTAAAGCTTTTTTTAATATCCTTGTTTCCATTCACATATTTTGTGCCCATTTAGAAGTGTGCATTAGAAAAGCTGTATTGAAACGGCATATTTAGATAAAAAAAGGTTTTTGCCTTTGTCCAAAAAGAGTTGATGTACTAAATGGATTAAGAAAGCATTTTGCAGAGTAAATTCTGACTTAGCGAACATTTAACTGGCATGACTGGTCATCTATTTCTGCTTTCGGCATCTTCTCGGATATTCCCCTAACATGCGAATGCTTGTCATCATGACATCTATCATACTTCTGTCCATCCTGATGATCCTCTGTTGCTCTCACTAAGGTTTCTTCCTTTTTTAAAGGTTGTTTTTCCTGTACCGATGTGAGGGTCCTGGGACAGAGGATGTCGTATGTGTACAGATTGTAAAAATAAGTTTAAAAAAAAATAAGTGGGATTTTGGCAGTGGTGGGCCGTCAGGGCCTGCAAAGCCTTCTCTGCTGGCCTAAACAGAATCACAAAGTTATAGCTATTTTATAATTTAATAATTTTTCTTAAATACACTACATGTATTATAATTTATATGAATATTTTTCCCATTATCTTATGTTCTCATTGCACAGCTACTGTCTTCCTCAGTTGCTCTGCTTCCAGTGCAGCTTGTTTTAAGTAGAGCTTTTATCCAATCAGATCTCACCTCTGTGTCTCTAGGTAAGAACAGAGGCAGAGGCCTGCAGACTCACAAGTGAATCCATGTGCAGTTTAAGTGAATGGGGACGATATTGTTGATTGTCATAGTGTTCAACCAATCAGATCTTTAGTTTGACATGTTGGGTGTATTCTTTGACGTGTCAGAGCCTGCTAGCTGGTCTACAAGTACGTGATTGGTCAGTGGGCTAGCCTGACATGTTGGGCGGTGACAATCCCAATATCTGCTGCCTCTGTGGAGCGGACATTTTCAGCCTCAAACGCATTAAAACGTATTCAGGAAATACAACTGGGGAGGCTCGACTGTCTTCACTGGCGTCCATGAATGGAGAAGGACTTCTTACTGGAACTAAAACACACGGATGTACTGAACAACCGTGAGATTAAACTCTTTATTAACAAAGAAAGGAGGATGCACTTTGTCTTTAAATAGTGGTTGTTGTTCTGGTGTTGTTGGAGACTTTTGTGACGCTAAAGCACTCGTTCTGCACTCTCGTGAACGAGCAGCGGGGGCTGCCGTGAGCCCCTCCGCCGCCCCAAAGTACACACAGGCGCAGCAGTCCCAGCTGCAGTCAGAGCAGAGAGGAGACACTCTATCTACAGGTGTTGGCTTCATTTTGACACGAAACAAATAATAACCGTAGCTGTGTTTCAGCTGCAGGACAGCAGTGAAGGCCCAGGTATAAAATGCACGGCCCGCCAATGGATTTTGGGCTATACAAAATAAATTGAATGGTCTTTGTTTCCAAACTGCATAAAACATGGCCAATAGTAGCTAACATGAAAGAACAATTCAAAGTTGGCCAACAGAAACAAATCCCTGAAGACCTCTCTCCATTTCCCTGTCAAGGGTTCACAACCTCCACTTCTTCTACACTGTTTACTGGCAGATTGCAGCCATGCAAGTCTATAGCGCCAACTTCTGACCACACTACGCTGAAGCTGAGTTCCTTCGCTCCAAACCAGTTCATAGAAACCCACCTAATTCCGCAATTCATTTTTTGCAACATTTTAAAAGTTTGCTTAAAATTCGCTGGACAATTGAATAGAAACCCGGGTACTTTAGCCTTCCTGTCACCAGCTGACTCGTGATATTTCTGCTGCAACATCAGAACCTGTATTCATATGGCTCTTCAAAAGCAAACGGGCAAACAGAGCTAAGCAAAACTAATATTACAATAGGTAGCTATTAGTGCTGGGCAACGATTAAAATATTTAATCGCGATTAATCGCATGGCTTTTTGTTATGGCAAAGTTCAATAATGAATTCAAAAGTAGTGTATTGCGCACTTTTATTTTAAAAGTACTGCTATATGAACAAAAGGTCAATAACATTTGGTTCACGAGATGCAGGTAGCATGTTTTATAATTAATGTGAATATAATTCATACTTTGTTGGCATCTTATTCTGAAAACCGGATGTTCGTCTGAAGAAACCGGATGTTGTCTCACGTTAATCTTTCCGCTAACTTTCAAAGTCCTTCGCTCGCTCCCGATCTGTGCCGTTTAAATGAGTTTACCGTGAATTTCAGCATATAGGTGCACTAACATGTAAGTGTCTGCTGACTTTACCGCAGCGATGTCCAGTAGTCTCCAGGGAGAGCAACAGCTGGTGCAGCTTCTCTCTTTATTTCTGCCCCCCCCTCGACCAGAAGCGGAAGTCGCCTTTTCTCTTCGGCAACCCTGAAGGGACATCATATCTCCAATACAAAACGATAAACATGAGACAGTCTGTTACAATAATAAATTAAAAACACTTACCTGTTTTTTGTTGTTGTTGTTTTTTAATTATTATTATTTTTTTTCCCATCTCAAAAGGTTTAAGGACACACACACACACACACACACAACTGACTATAGGATGTTTGCTGGCTTTTATCCCACTGTTCTTGTCATCCTCTTGTTGTTATGTCTATGTATTGTCTCGTCTTTCTAAAATAAATTAGAATAAATTTTAAAAAAATGCGTTAACGCGCGATAAAATAATTGTCAGCATTAATTAATGAATGGGTTAACGCGAAATTAACGCGTTAACTTGCCCAGCACTAGTAGCTATCTAATAAAAGGTTTCATTATTTAAAAAATGAGTTCAGCTTCAATTTGTAAGCTAATATTGAACATCAAACATGTCCATGTCATGATCCATTTGCCATGCTGATGTAGGAGTAAATAAAACTAGCATGGCTTGCAACTTTGAGGGTACAATATCCTGAAAAAAGACTGTATGCATGCGCCCCGTTCTGGGTTCCAACCAACCTCTTCCAAAGAAGAGGCAGAAGCTACAATCTGTGCGACAGTGATAAATGGCTGACACCTGGAACATCCAAACTCTTTTGATCTGAATTTGGCTCTTTATAACATTTCACTGACGCCCGGGCCACGCTCCCTTGCTTTTTATTTGGGCGCCTGTATTAACAGGTCCGAGCAAACACACTGCCTGTGTGAGCAGCGCTTGTGCTGTATGGGATTGGTGTGCGTGGCCGCCATACGAGGGTTTGAGCTAGCACAAAGATCAAATGTTGTGAGTATATTGAGGTATACTGCATCATTTCTCTTTATTAATGGACCAAATGTTTCATGTTCTTAGTTTCAGAGTTAACTGTGTGGTATTGTTTGTTTTATTTTATTTTAGTACTAACAGAAGAGTTACCACTACAGTTATTTATGCATTGACAGCATGCACTAGATTGATGCACTGAGCTATAGTCTCAAGGCACCTTAAGTTAGTTTAGGATTTAACAGATTGGTTGATGCACTGTACAGGTTAGTGACCAGGATGTGTAAGATGATTTGAAGGGAGAATTTGTGTTTACAGTGTAACTTTAAATGTGCAGGGAAATCTTTGTTAAATCTAACATAACTTTAACATCCCAAATTACTTTGCCTCATTTTTCTGCCTACCACACAGTTCACAGCAAAGGTAGGCTGCAAAAATGATCTTTTCATACCATTAACAGCACAACAGCTTCAATGTCGTTATCATTAGAACATGTCGCAGACAGAAAAAGTTCATATTTATTTTTAACTCGACATGTCCTGTTTACGTTTCAAAATGAAAGCCCTCAGGGATCTTTCTGGAACAGCGTCCCTTCACTTAGGCTTTTATTCTTAAATATTTGCAGGGCAGTGCCTTGCATGGCTCCATAAATGAATAGAGTGTTATTATTATTGAAAATGAGCACACGCTTCTTAACTTCTGAAACAAATATAAATTAAATTGTAATGGAATGCAATGAAACCTTCTGGCCATTATGAATGGCAAACTTTCCGTAGAAAGACAGCCTGGCAGCAGCATCAACGCTGTCTGTTTGGACGCCAAACGCGTGACACACACAGCAGCTCTGCGCTGTACATACAGGCAGTGTGGCCCCGGCTTAAGGCAGAGAATTTTAAAGTCTGGGTTGGCACCTTTATAATACTATGACTTGTCATTTGAAAAGATCACGACATGCTAAATAATTTTTGCATGTAATTTGTCAAGTCTCTGCATAGCTACAATATCTTAAAATAAAGGCTGTATGCTGTTAGTCACATGAAAATATAGAGACTAAATCAATATCTAAAATTAATTTCTGGGCGACTGCCCAGAAAAAGTTTAAAATCACTACATTACAGTCAGTCATAGTCATAAAAATCAAAAAATATCTACATTTGTACGAGTACCATAATTCATAAACATCTATAAACAGTCCTCTCACAGGGCATCCCACAGACAACACATTTGTGACCCATTGGTTCAAACCCAAAGTTTTGACAAACATTGCAGTACACTGTGTGACTTTTCTGGACAGCAGTAGGAAGTAACAGAGGCGTAAGATGTCATTTTGGCTTTTAAATGGCTGACAGCTGAGCGTTGTTGGTTACTCCTTCTTCTGATTGGCTAATAGGGAGGCCTCCCATCGTTGCGCCATGGCGTTCTGTCGTCTTGGCATCGAAGAGAGGGATGAGGGGAACTGGAGGGAGGGGGACATTCAGCTGAACCACTAGAGCCAAAATGGGTGGATGGATGGAAATGGTTGGATGGATTATGGGATGGATGGATGATGGATGGATGGAGTATGGGATGGATGGATGGATGATGGTTGGATGGATTATGGGATGGATGGATGGATGGATGGATGGATGATGGTTGGATGGATTATGGGATGGATGGATGGATGGATGATGGATGGATGATGGATGGATTATGGGATGGATGGATGATGGTTGGATGGATGGATGATGGATGGATGGATGATGGATGGATGGAATATGGGATGGATGGATGATGGTTGGATGGATGGATGATGGATGGATGGATGGATGATGGATGGAAAAATAAACAAAGGACGGAATGGTTGGAGGAATTATTAGACGCATGAATGCAAGAGTGATGGCGAATAATGAATATATTTGCTAAATTGTGAACTAATAAATGTAATAATTAATCAGTCCAATTGATTCAATGAATCAGAAAGTTCACAATTATTAAACAAAACAAATGAATGAATGAGTAAAGGAAGAAATAAATTACCCAAAATAGAAATTGCAAAAGAACAACTTTAACAATGAAAATATGATTTTCATGCCATGTACTGATACATGAAGCAATCCGACACAGTGGACTATGCTCAGCTGCTGTGTGAGAGTAAACATCACAAATAGTGCATCAGGGAGGACATGACATGTTTGAGTAAATATTACTGTCATGGAATAAAATCTTATGTTGAGTCAAATGTTTGCTCATTGGTGAGCTGTATATGTCCTATAAAGTACTGTGTATGTACTGTGTACTGTATCAGTCATTTCCATCACCAGTACTTCTATGAAATCAATAGATCAATACTGAGCGTTCTAGCAGCTAAAGAACCACATGTGTTTTCAGGAGGAGAGAGCCGAAACACAACTCCAAATGAATGCTATTGTGTCTCTGCTTCTACTGGATCTGTAACGAGACAACTGCTTCAGATTTAAAGTTGTCGTCAACATGTCAATGTTGTGTTGTCAGCTTATTGTGCTGCCCCCATGTGGACACAAGATGTCATTTCATGCAGCTTTCAGGGTGTTCAACAGACTCGTTAGTGAGTTTGGGGGCAGTATCTATTTCTTCATACCTATACACCTTCCTGACATTTTAGCGGCTTCTACGGTTCTATAAAATATAAAAGCTGAGCAGGTGATAGAAGTCATTGTAGCATTGACACGATGGGTCAAGTCCAGTGTTTGTTTGATCCACCTCAAACTGACTATGATTTGAAATCTATTTGTAATAAGTCAAAAACAAATGTAATCTGGGAGAAATTATGTTTACCTTGAAATGTAATTGACAATGCAGTTTTGTTGCATGGGAACATATTTTTAGGAGAGCAGGCTGGACTATGTCTAGCTAGCCTGCAATGCTGTGTGTCTAACATGTATTAGCCTACTTAGAAAAGCCGAGCTGGGTTTAAATAGGAAATCTACAAAACCAGCCTGAAAGTGAGGAAAATCTGAAACCAATGCATGAGAGTGTTGGAAGCAGAGCCGTACAGTTGTCGGACCCTGGTTGGAGCTAGCCGATGCTACGCTATGATTGGCCAGTCTGCATTCTTGGGGCGGGACCTAATTAAGGGTCATTGTTTGGAATCTTGCCCAGTAAATCTTGACTGATGAATACATCATGTCTTCTTCTGTGATGTCAGAGGTGACATACTACTGATGAGAAGATAACCAAGTATTTCTACTTGGTCTCCAGATAGATAGACAGATACTGTGCATAGTTTGTGTGTGTGTGTGTGGGGGTGTGTGTGTGTGTTATATATATATACTACAATTGGCTGCTTCTCACCTCTTCGAAGACCTGTTCGAGGTTTAGGACTTGGTTTTAAGGTTCAGGTTAGAATTAGGTCTAGGTTGGGTTAGGGTTGGGGTCAGGCATTTAGTTGTGATGGTTAAGGTTAGGGTAGGGGGCTGGGGAATGTATTATTCCAATGAGGGTCCACACAAAGATCGCACAGGGACGTGTGTGTGCGTGCATGTGTGTGTGTAAGCAAACCTTGTGGTCACAAGACATGCTGGATCGTTCCATTTTGCGGGTCCTGGAGGGGGACGAAGGAGAGGACACACATCTGTCTAGAACCTCTGGCACTGGAATAAAAACAAAGGAAACAAAAAGACAATTCAATCTCAAAAAAATAATTATCTTATTATATTATAATTACATAACATTACCATTACAGGCTGAAAGCAGGTTTTTGAATGTATTTTTCATCCTACACATCCAGTACAGAGTATTGACTCGTGTTCTGTTCAGCAATGGACTAAGAACGGTGAAAACACACTATCGTCTAATTAATCCTGACACTATTTTGAATCCCCAACTAAATCCCCCCAATTTTTTGAATTAAGGCAATCAATAAATGATGTGCAGGAGAGCAGCAGTTTGGTTTGATTGGTGCTCAGTCGAACTGTTTGACCTCTCTGCACTACAACGAAACAGATTCCTGATACTTGGATAAGTGGCCATGATTCGTATATGTACCGTTGAAACTGATGTTATCGCTCAGGCCCGGAGACACCAGCACAGTGTCGTACCTCTCTCTCCCTCTCCACTCCTCCTCCCTCCCCCTCCTCCACATCTCCTCCCGCTGCCTCCTCCACTCCTCCTCCCTCTGCCTCACCATGCGGATCTCTTGCTCCACCAGCGATTGGCTACTGAGGGAGCGTAGCTTAAAGAACGGATTGGACAAGAAGGTGCTCTCCTGCATTTCCGTGGACACCGGGGCGGAGCTTAGACAGAATTCGGAAGCGCTGCGAATGATGAGGTTGGAGGTTTCCACGACGATGACGTTGGCGGAAGTCACAGCATCCTGGCTAATCGGCCAATTGGAGAGGCTCCCGATTGCGGTAGATAGTAAGCGGTTCCTGGAGGCGGAGCTGGAGCAGTCGGGCTCCAAGATAATGACATTATTGGCCGTCATTTCATGGTAGACAGAACGGGGAAGGGAAGAGGAGCATGCAGGGGATGGGGAGATGGACAAGGTGGGGGTGCGGCAGGCTGGAGGTCTGGGTGGAGATCGTCCTGTCTGAGAGGTGGAGGGTCTGCACACAGAACAAAAGAAACAGAACAATCAGTCTGAAACAAGTTCATTTTGGCTATTTTGCCTTGGAATATAGGTGATTCTGCACAAAACGTTTGTTGGTGTCACGATCAGGCTTTGCCTTGTGTGTTCTGTGTGTCTTTGTGTAGCTTCACCCTCCTCACTCTACCTGTCAGTCACTCACTCCTCATCAGCACAACTCCCCTCACCTGTTCAAGCCACTTTATAAACCCCTGCCTCTCAGTCACTCACTGCCAGGTCATTGTTTGTGTTCTACCCGCCCGTTTGTGCTCGTCCTGTTCCCGGTTTCCCCGTCTGCCTGCCCTGCCTCGTTTCCCGCTGGATTTTCCCCTTCGTCTCTTGTCTTGTGCTTGGACTCCCTGTTGTGTTGGTAACTATTCCTTTTTGTGTTGAATAAAACGCCTGCTTCACGCTACTCTGCCTGGTCTGCGTTTGAGTCCTCCATCATGCCCCGTGACAGTTGAATGCAATACTGCATCTCCATATTTTTTTATCTTTTTACGTTAATGTGATAAATGATGATTAGGTTTTGCCCAAAGTGCCAAAACAGAGAATTATCACCAACTCAGCAGTTCTCCTCAGCTCTGCGGTGAAGCCTTTCTTCGCTCATTGTTTTGGTTTTGCTGCCTATACACTCGCTCTCAAACTGCTTTCAACAGTCAGCTGTTGACAGAAACAAAGCTCTAATGAACCCTCGGTAAATAACCTTCCCAGCAGCACACAGCAGACACATTTGATGACAAGCTGGTGAACAAATGCCACATTTCCACTGCTTGGTACGGCTCGACTAGTAAGTGGTACCTGGTGCATTTTTTGGTACTTGTTCCAAACGAGCTGAGCCAGTACTAGAAGGTGGAGTTAAAACACAGCAACAGTGATTGGTCAGAGATAATACGCACAAACATTATTTTCAAAATAGCCAAGCTACTATCAATAGTGTGCGAATTACACTCGGCCGAGATCTTTACAAATGGCAGGCCGTGGTCAAATGACAAACAAAAAGCTCGTCCTCTGTTCGGTTGCTCATGAAAGGATCCAGCAAGAGAACACACTGTTTCTGTCACATTGATATCACAGCAGTTTCAGTTTGAGAAGGCACCGTCCACAGGTACTCAAACTGAGCCGAGCCGTACCGTGCAGTGGGAATTCAGAGATGGTGGCACATTTAGCAGAAAACCACTCCAACCGTCTCCTCCTCTCAACCTGTTCCAACCTCACGTTCAAGGATTCAAGGATCATTTATTGTCATTCTGCAACACAGGGACATTCAGTTGTAACCCCCCCCCCCCCGATACTAACCCACACTATAATGCTCTGCAATGCCACATTATTAAAGTGTAGCAAAAAGGAAAACAGCACTTTATTTTCCCTGTTAATAATAATAATGTTCTGTTACCTGGGTATAGTGAGGCCCTGTGTAATCACCCCCCTCTCTCTGCGGTGCCGCTCCTCCCTCTCCAGAGTCAGTCGGATCTCTCTCTCCACTGCACTCTCTGGCTCCTCTAGCGGGCTGCGGTAGGACAAGTCATCCAGGCCTGAGTCCTCTGAACTGGGGGACAGGGTGGAGGACAGGGTGGGCTCCCTGGGCACTGGTGGATGGATCTCCCTTTGAGAGGACAGGAGGAAACCCAGCTTAAGTTAAGATGAACTAAAGCTACAGAGTTGTGCTTCCATTGAAAATTCTAAATTCCCCTGTAAACACAGCCATTCAAGCTTTTGTTGACTTTGAAGTTAAATTAAAAAAAACATTTCTCCACTTGGCCTGACAGCACCTCATTGATATTGTGTATGAAAGTATTCCAGCTCTTCAATGATATCAGGCCATATGATCAAATAGTCAAACTAAATACCAATACCATGGGCAGGTTTGTGGGTGCTGAAGGAGCACCGCAGTAAATTCACCCCAACTACAGATTCCAAATGAAAACATGTATAAGATCATATGTGGCCTGAAAGAAATGTGATGACAGATGTGTGACTGTCCACCAAGATGAAACCAACATGATGCAAATAAGAGAGCTCTTCTCAAGATGAAGGGAAAACATCTCAACATCTTTTGTTTCATTTAATTCAATTCATAGTTTTTGTCTGTATTTATTTGTATTTGTCTTTGGCTGTAAATTGAATAGTTGTTTTACTTTATACTGTATTAACGGTGTAACATGTATGTTTGTATATAGCATTGCTCCATTCACGTGACACACTAGTTATCAAGGCAGCTGAATATACAGTACATGAAGGACACACTTTCACATCTCTACCTCCTGTTCAAGCGCATTTAAGACTCGTGAATCTCAAAGTGAACAATGCAATGGAACAATAAAGTGAACAATGGAACAGGAACAAAAGTTCTATTTGAGAAGAAACCACATCTCTATATCAATCCCTGCTCCGCTTCAGTAGTTTCAGTCTGGACAGAGGAGCACACACACACTCACACACACACCTACACACACACCTACACACACACACACACACTCACCTACACACACACTCACTTACACACACACACACACACACACACACACTCTCTCACACTCACACACACTCTCTCACACACCTACACTCACACACACACACACACACTCACCTACACACACACTCTCACACTCACACACACACTCTCTCACACACCTACACTCACACACACACACACACACGACACACAAAAACAGCTTCCATTAATCGGAAATGACAGCTAAGCGATATAATATGGTTGTTTTTCTTATTTTTCAAAAGAACAGAAATACAGAGTCAGTAAGCAAAAACAATATGATTCTATTCAGATAGACAAGACTTTTACAAACAGATTGGACTAATTCTTAGTCAGGGATTCCCCAAGTATTCAAAATATGTCTTTCCTCCGTTTACAGTGTCAACAGGTCAGCTGGACACTTTCACGCTGTGTGCTTATTTCGTCTGATAAATGAGGTATAGATAAGATAAAGTATAAAATAATAAGTGCTGTTTGGGCTCTACAGTAAGTAGAAGATGACAAAATAGAGAATGTGTACTCAGTGTTATAGACCCTGTCACTCAGTGGGACAATCTGGATTTGGGGGCAGGAGACCTGTAAGAATGACTCACGATGGCCTCGGGGCTGTTTCAACTCATCAATGTTCTTTTGGCCAATAAAAATCTCAGACAATAGTGAACAATGCGCATCATAATTTCCTAAAGCCCAATCAGATATCCTCAAAAGTTATTGTTTTTTCTGAGCAATAGTCGACAACCCAAAGATATTCAGTTTACTATCACACAAGGTTCAGAGAAGCAGCCCGTCCTCACATCTAAGAAGCTGCAACCAGAGAACTTCATGGTTTAGCTTGAAAAAAGACTTACAATAAATCAATTGAAATGAAATCCATTGCTAAGACAAAGAAAGTGATTCGTCTCAATTAAAAGATATACAGTATAAATACACAATTTGTATTATATACTGAGCTGTTTCATTTAAATCAGTTTTGTTTTTTTATGAATTGAATTTTTCAACTAGTGTCAGAAGGAAACATACTGTCTGATAACGCTCCATCCAAACAGGACAAGTGAACTGTTGGTAACTCCCATGCTTCCTACCTGTGTTTGAGTCGGGGGCTGCGAGTGGGGGGGTACAGTGAAGTGTGGGTGCCCTGGAAGCTCCCCTGAGCTCTGAGCCCTGGTTTGGGGATTGGCTGACCTTTGACCTCCTCCATCTTCCTCCACTGCTGGCGGGCTAACAGAAAGTCCACATGCTCAGTGGAGACATGTTCACTGTGGGTCTCTTCTTGCACACAGAAATCTACAGGAGCCTGATAGAAAAGACCAGGATCACAATCAGATGATTAAACAAGTCTCAGAACAGACCCACCACTGAAAAACATTTTAATATTCATACAGTATTACTAATAAACAGAGACTGACATATTTAACAGAAGTGTTACAATATATAGACCTCCAGAGGAAGAGGGAGAATATGAAAATATAACTCAAGTATTGGAGGATTCACATATTCTGATGTCTGTATAGTAACATCATCAGGTCCATTATCAGAATTTTGCCATGAATTACTTACAGTGGCCCACAGGGGGCAACAACTCTCAACACAAGTCAAACACAAGTCATTGGACTGATCAGGATTTTGTATTGGCAGTGAGGGGCATTGCTGTCTCCATAGGGGACGGGTTACATGCTGTCTAACAAAAGTCTTTCATCCACCCATCTCCGGCTGTGACACAGGTTGGTGTCACTGCATCCAGCTGTTGTTTGATAACCACCTCATATTTTTAATTGACCTCTATATCTACGGATTAAGCAGACACAACATACCACATGTTAATAAGCGAGCTTCACTGACTGTCACTTTGAACTGACCCAGATGAGCTATTTCCCCTGCTGCCGATCTTGGTGCTAAGCTAAATTCCTCAAGCCTCTTGTTGTATACTCCTGCGTAACTTAAATATATATAATATATATAAATATTTTCTAATTTAATTAAGAACTTAAGTGCAAAATTAACAGTTTTAGAGCTAAATTATATAGAGAAAAAAGTAAATATTTCCAGCTATACACTGATTGTAAAATTGTAAAACTGACTGATACATTTTCATATCCACTTATCGCCCAGCCCAACATACAGGTCACACTACTATACCTTTTCTTTACTGGACCTGCACTGAACATAGTAGACACTTTGCTAAGCCCCGCCCCCTGCTGCTACTCTGTCACGTTGTCGGAGCTACTGCCCCCATTAGAACCAGGTCAGTCTTTATTCACTGTTACAATCATTAAAAAGCTAAAAGCATGTGTAAACATTCCGTATACCTTCAGTAGCTAGCGTAGCATAGAAGTGCTAATGCTAGTTAATGATCTTCTAACGTACTCTGCTAATGTAAGTTTTTACGTAGAAATGTAATGTTTTAGTAACGTATATCATTATTAAATGTGCCCCAGACACAACGTTTAAAGGTGCATGATACCAGATTGAGAGCATATTGATTGCCGCTCAGTGTCTCTGATCATGGCAACGCATTAGCCGGCGACTACGGCAAACATGCTGACCGAGCTAACATTGTTTACCTGAGGGTGCCAGAATTCTGCGAGGACGCTACTGGTCGGGTAAACGTCACACTCACAGGTAAGCTGTAACTGCTATATAGACATTACTCCCCTAGATCTTTACACATCAAATAGTTGTTTGCTGCCAAATTAATAATCTGAATATAATGTATTGCTCTTTTAAGCGTGACTAGCTCGAAATCCTCAAAACCATGCCTGGAAATGAAGAAAACACAGCCAGATAGTTGGCGGACCCTGTTCAGAGCCAGCCCATGCTACAATATGATCGGCCAGTCTGAGTTTGAGGGGCGGGACTCAGCGCTGTGTAATCATTCAATGTGAACATAATTCCTAGGGCATAAAGATAAGATAGTCTTTTGTCTGTACTTGAAAAGCGCTTTTCTAGTCTCTCGGCCAATCACAGCATTTTAACACTACACGTCATCATTCACCCATTCACACCCATTCACACTCTGATGACAGGGGCTACCATGCAAGGTACATGGACCGGCTGAGCCGGAGATCGAACTGCCGATCATCTGATGGAAGGACGACCCTGCTCTACCACTGAGCCAAGATGAACAGGAAATTAACTTTTTGGGCTCAAAGTTACATAAAAAGAGGTAAAGTCCTACCTTTCTGTAAGGGTCTGTGGAGCTGGCTGTGGAGCTGACAGAAGGTGAGCGCAGGAATAGATCTCTCCTCGACATCATCTGTTCTTCATCATCACCATCCCTGCCTCCCCTCCTCTCCTCCTCCTCTCCTTGCTTCTCTTTTTCACTCTCTACTTCTGCCTCATCCTCTTCTTCCCCTCTCTCCTTATTGCGTCCTCCTCTCTCCTCTTCCTTGCTCTCTCCATCACAGACGCTATCGTGAATTCCTCCTCCTGCATCTTCCTGGTTGGTGACATCACAGAGCGCGAAGCTAGCCCATTGGTCGTCACCTGCATCGCTGTCCGAGTACACGATAGCCAGCTCAGCTTGGAGGCAGTCGCTGAGGTGACTGTCACTAAGGTCATCTCTGTTGCCACGGTCGTGACCCCAGGCCTCATGCAACATGGTGTCTATAGGCTGCTCTGGAGGATCTGAGGTGACAATCAGGGGCTCTGATGATGTCGGACACACCGGGCTGCAAGAGATGAAGAAGAGCTCTGACAGAGCATCATCTCTCATCTCTCCCACTGTCTCTCTGCATTCATCCTCTTCTTTTTTGTCTCCTCTTCCTCCTTCTTCCCTCTCTGTATCTCCATTCCCTTCCTCCTTTCCTTCTGTTTCCCCTCTTCCTCCATCTTCTACCTCCTCTCCTCCTCTCTCTCCGTCTTGTCCTCCTTCACTTTCACCTCCTTCGTCATCTCCCTTTCGCTCTCCTATTGCAAAAACCAGATAGTCGCACTCATCTGCATCTCTTATTACATTTTCTTTTTCTGCAGCCTCTTCTTCCTCCTTCTCGTCCCCGACTGGCTGCTTCAGCCCATGGACCTCTGGGTAATGGAGCTCCTCTACTTCCTGGCTGCCCCAGATAACCAAGTTTTCACTCTCCGTGTCCGTTAGCGGTGGTGATGAGCTGATCTCCATGGTAACTGGATCTGTTGGCTGTATAGGACTGGGAGAGTCGTTGACAGGGTTATTGTTGCCGGAGCTACCGTTGTCGGGGTTACCATCCGTTAGCTCAGCTGTTGTCCTCCTGAGCCCAGCTGTTGCTCTCTGGGGACACACATACTTCATTATAAGCTGGTCAATTCATTGTAGCCTGAATACTAATACATTCTTAACGTGTTATGGTTATTCATACAATAATGTATGGAAGTCCATTCCCGCCAGAAAAGATTTTTTAAGAATGACCAAATAAAAAACAGTCATGGTGAGATAAATGAACGAGATACCAACTCACACGTTAGGGAGACAAGTGAGAATGATAAGACGCTAGAATTAGTATTAAGACAAAATGATTCAATTGTGACTTTTGAAGTATTATCAGGGCTGGGCAGTATGCCCTAACATTGATATCACGGTATGATTTTGAGGCACGGACGGTAATGGTATATATCACTGTGTATTCATTTTTCCAATATAAATGCTGCTGAAAGGGTCGAGCACTGGTATGCCAACTGCATGGTATCATTGCCACAACGTTATCTTTTTATTTTGTTTTTGTCACCTATAATGGTTATTTACTGAAAACACGCAATTCAAATAAATAGAAATAAAGGATCGTATTTTTATTTAGATACTTGCTTTGATCAAAAGACAACTTGGCATTAGTAGCTTTAATAATGTATTATACTGTGCACTCTCTATACTATCTATAATTTCCACTTTGAATCACAGAATTTTGACTAGTTACCTTGCAATTTTGTCGGGGCTGAATCTGAATATTCAAATATTTGACTCTTTGAATATTTATTCATTGGGTAGGTATTCGGTTTTCAACTTTGGATGTTCTTTTTTTGTTTTTCTTATGCAAAAAATTTGCAAAAATGTCACAAGCTGTAATTACGTAATGAAAAGAGAAACATGCATAAAACACACCAAGCCAGGGTTTCCAGAGAGAGAGAGAGAGAGAGAGAGAGAGAGAGAGAGAGAGAGAGAGACAGACAGACAGAGAGACAGCGAGAGATTTCATTTACAGTTTTACTGTTTATCAAAAATTACAACAAACTTAATTCATGCAAAAAAATCAACCAAACAAAACCAAAAAATTAAAAAATAAAGAAAAAAACACAAATCATAAGTTCAGAACCAGAGCATTGTCTCTGACTGAACACAGAACGACATTCAGAGCCCAAATGTTCACAAAGAGTTCAGTTTTTTTTTGTCAGTTTGTAGAAGCCAAACTCTACCCTGAGCCGAGCAGCCAGCAGCCCGTCAGCATCAAGCTCACGTCCTCTGACCCTTCACCCCTCACACGGTATTTCCTCGTTTTCCATATTGCTAGTTTGGCCAGTCCTGAAAGGAAATTCATTAGTGTGTGGACAGATTTTTTTTTAGCAGAGTAGTTTGGACCACAGGTAAAAAGAAGCCCTGAAACCACGCCTTCAGGCGGCTGAAGAGTCTCACCAGTCTGGAGCACTCAACGAGCAGATGGTGGATGGTTTCTGTCTGTGAGCAGAAAGGACAGCTGTCACCAGATACCTGTTTGTAGCTATGGCCCCATGTACAATCCTCCACTGGAGGTCTCCTGTCCGTTTATCTACAGGGGGTTTGTACAGAGACCGCCAACAGCCCCTTGGGGAGGATCCCCTGCCAAAAAACTCGGTCCACCTCGACACCCTCACTCCTGCCAGAGAGTGCAAGTTAGAGACCTTCACACTGACCTGATACGCTGCTTTCCTCCCCAGAGTCTCAAAGTCCCCCAACTGGGGTGTCTTTAGAGTCAGCAGGATGTCCTCCTCATCCTGACACTGTCCCACAGCAGGACAGACAGCCAGGGGTGGGAAGACATACTCACATTCATCGTCCCATTGGTCAGATATTGTACGGTCTCTAACAAACGCTCTGAGGACTTCTGGCAGGGACGCACAGACCTCCTCCACCAGCCTGTGCAGCAGCCTGCTGGACCGGATGTTGATCAGCTCCACTAGTTGAGGGATGGAGGTCTTCATCAGATGACCCAGCTTCACACAGCCGGCCTCTCTCAGTCTGGATCTCAGGCTGATGGACGTCAGGACCTGGGATGTGATGTAGCTGCTTCCAAACAGCGGCTCCTCAAAGAGCCACATCCCTGGTGTCGTCACAGCTCTCCGCTGGACTGTAAAAACCTGCCATGCCTGTAAGACGGACTGGTAGAACGGTGTGGGACCAGTTAAATCCACTGACTGGGGCTGAAGTAGGAACAGGTGTTTGTCATAACCTAAGCGTCCGGCCCTCCTCAGCAGCACACAGGCAGTATCAGTCCATGGCAGGCCGACGCTGTACAGCAGTCTCTGAGCTGTCTGCAGTCTGAAGGCTGTGATGCGTGATGCGATGTCCACCAGACCCTGCCCTGCCTCCTGGACCGGCAGGTACAGCACCGCAGATCTCAGCCAGTGAAGCCCTGACCAGAAAAAGTCCACAACTGCCCCCTGGATTTCTTTAATCAGGCTCTGTGGTGGAGGTAGGACTACCAGTCTGTGCCAAAGGGTAGAGGCAACCAAGTCATTGACAATTAGGACCCTCCCCCTGTAAGAGAGCTGAGGTAGCAGCCATTTTCATTTAGACAGTCTGGTACACACTCTCTCCATAGCACCCTCCCAGTTCTGTCTTTGAAACTCCTCTGTTCCCAAAAAAACACCGAAAACCTTCAGGCCCTCCCTTCCCCATCTGATGTTTCCTGGTAGCTTTGGTGTTTCTTTGTCTGCCCACTGCCCAACCTGCAAAGCTTCACTTTTCTCCCAGTTTACCTTTGCTGAAGATGCCCTCTCAAACTAATCTAAACTGTTACCTAGGAACTGGATATCCCTCTGGTCTTTGACGAACACATAAATATCATCAGCATATGCTGACACCACCAGCGAGGGCCGCTGAGGCAGCCCAGGTAACATGAGTCCTGATAGACGGGATCTCAACCTGTTCAGAAGAGGCTCAATGGCAATGGAATATAGCTGTCCAGAGATAGGACATCCCTGTCTGATGCCTCTCTGGACCTGAACTGGACAGCCCCGCACACCCCCCCCCCCCCCCCACACCTTCACCAGACAAGTAGCTTCCTTGTACATCAAACCAAACAGTGACACAAACCCTTCACCAAAACCAAATGCTCTTAAAGTGGAAAAAAGAAAACCATGATCAACCCTATCAAAAGCCTTCTCCTGATCTAATGATATAACACCAACATCAATATTATACAGTTTACAAAGATCCAACAAGTGTCTCATGAGAAAAATGTTATCCATGATGGATCTGTCCGGTACGCAGTAAAACTGGTCTCTGTGGATTATAGACTCCAGAAAGTTCTTAAGCCGGTTGGCGAGCACCTTGGAAAGAAGTTTATAGTCTGTGCATAACAACGCCACCGGTCTCCAGTTCTTCAGTAAGGACAAATCTCCTTTTTTGGGTAACAGTGATAATACTGCATGCCGACATGTCGTCGGTAACAGGCCTGTCTGTGAACACTCCTGCAGCACCTCCCACAGGTTGGCTCCCAAACACTTCCAGAAGTGTTTATAGAAGTCCGCAGGCAGTCCGTCCAGTCCAGGAGCTCTCCCAGCAGCCATCTGACCCACAGCAGCGGTCAGCTCCTCCAGGGAGATGTTGGCATCCAGGACAGCTCTGTCCTCGGGGCCCAGCTGAGGAAGGTCCTGAAGCAGCTCGTCAACACTCTATCTGTGGTTGTCCTCCTTCCTGAAGAGGGCACTGTAGAAGCTTACGGCATGTTGTCTCATTTCAATCGGGTCAGTCGTCATCTTACCCTCAGGAAGGTGGAGACACACCATTTGTTTGGTCCGAGAGACGGACTTCTCCAGATTGAAGAAGTAGGAGGTAGGAGCATCCATGTCCCTAACACTGGTGAACCTTGACCTGACCAAAGCTCCTTTAGCTCGTTCCTGTAGAAAGGAGTTGTTGTTTCTTCTGTTGAAGCCTGTGAGTGTCTGTGCTGGTGTGAGTGAATAGACTCTCCAAATCCTTGATTTAATTTCCGAGATCCTCAATGACCCTTTGACTATTACTGTGGAGTGACTTGTATATTGTTGAACAAAGACACGTATATGTGCCTTTCCTACATCCCACCACTGACTCAGGGACTCAAAATCGCTCTTCTTTTCTCTCCAGATGCCCCAGAAAGCCTCAAACCTTTCACAGAAATCACTGTCCTGAAGCAACTTAATGCTAAAGTGCCAGTAAGAGCTGCATTTGGTGGTTGGTGAGGTGTGAACATCTAAAGTGACGAGGTGATGGTCGGTGAATCCTACTGGGTAAATGTGACTATTCAATAACCGGTTACTAAAACTATGAGATATGTAAACCCTGTCCTGCCTGGCTGCCCTAATGCTCCCATTCAACACCTTCACCCATGTGTACTGTCTAGCCCGGGGATGTTTGACCCGCCATACATCCACCACACCTGACTCTGCGATCACCTGCGATAAGATGGCAGATGACTGTAAATGAGGTTCCTCTCCTGTTCTATCCAATAAGGAATTTATGGTGCAATTCCAGTCCCCCCCCCCCCCCCCCATCACTACACACTCGTTGTGATCACACTGCTGCAGGACATCTTTGAGTTTGTGGA